CCTTACATGATTTATTAGCTTCTGCAAATAGTCATTTCTCTTATGCCCATTCATTTATAAGCGCATTCGTTAGTGGCAATCGTTTTAGTTCAAGCGGTAATTTGAAAGCGAACACGATTTCAATATAATTTTGATAACTGGTTGAATAAGATTAACTTATTTACAGATCAACGGAATTTGAAGTACATTTGTCAATTGGATAACACGAACGCTTGACAAGAACTGTGCACTATTCCATACACAAATATATCAGCCACCTATGTGTTGGTAGCACTATATCCACCACCATTCTGTCCGAATCTGTAGCTGATGCTTGTGTGTGATGAGCACGAATAACAAATGTCAAAGTGCTGACTAGTGACAATTATAAAGTACTGACAAGCACACCGGTTCGATTCTCTCCTGAAAATGAGGTGACACTTTTCATTGAGCCAATTTTGAAAGAAAAGCTTTTTGTCACATCATATCTATCGCAGCTGTTAGCTCCGTATTATATATACGATTGTACATTCAGCCATCAAAACGTGTGCCATACCTGAAATATCAGATATAGAGATCGTCAAAAAATATTCCGGATATCTACATTTCACACTGGCGTTTAAATCTTTCTTGATAACACCTGATGCGTAGTAAAGTTTTGAACAATTTCTCAGCACTACTCCGATTCTCTAAGTTGTAATTACATATTCTGCAGAAGCAGATTATGTTCAAATTATACCATAAACTTATAGAAATTTCTAATAGACATCCAAGGCAAGACGTTATTCCTTCATATCATAATAAGTAGTTGAATGTAAACATTCCAAATAGAAAGTTCGTACGATAAGAAAAATCAAAAATTCAGTGTGAAATTCTGAGGCCCCATCTTAAAATCGGTTAAACGCACACAGCTATCAGATTTTTCATTAAAGCAACGTGGTCTTCTTTAAACCTGTTAAAGACAAATTAAAATTAAGCCTTCCTACTGGCTTGGCAACGACCGAAATAATGAGCTGTATATCGCCAGTGTTAACGATAAAATCATGGAACAAACCAGATTAGGTATGTGGTCGCTCATACTCGTGAAACGAACATTTCGAAATATTACACTAAAATAAAATATAATCATCAATAACCCCACTTTTATTGGGATTAAAATTACGCGATTTAGTATGACAAGATGAGAAATGAACAGTGCTCTTGCATAATAAATTACTATGTTGATGTCTGTTACGAGTGGAACAGTCGACATGACAAACGGGCATGATTTGTAGTAATGCAGTTTACCACATGACAAACATTTCCGAGATCTTTACACACCTATATGTGCTACACTGAAACTGTTTGTGAAGCTAGTTTGTATTTAGACCTAGTCTTCAAGTAGTTGACGCGATAATGTCTGGAGTGAACATCGACTCTGTGACTCAGGCACCTCCAGTTAACGAGTCTCAATTACGAAAAAGTAACACGTTTCTGGCTTTCCGCCGTTAGATATCACCCATCTCTGTTTACATTACTCGTGACGTAATGGGAGTTTTGAGGCAATTCGAACACGACGAACACACACCGTAAAATAACTGACCAGTTACAGTCCTTAACATCAACGCAAACATTCAAAGAAACAGTACGAATGAATCTCCGTAGCATCCTTTCTCACAAATACATGTGAGTGAGAATAATTACTAAATATATAGTGTACAACGAAATGCTCATCAACTGACAGAAATATCGTAGTGATTGTTCTTCAACACTAATATCCTACTCAATGATACTACGATAAAACTAATGCTAATTTGAGCAGTCTACGCTTTTTATCATCCCTAATTGAGCATATACCCAACTCTCCAGATATATTTCACATTCAATCGTCATATTACCCAACTAACTATAGTTTGTCATCTAGCACTAACCAGTTAGTGACTAGTCATGTAACGAAGGATGAAAGTGCCTAGTTTACACGGATACAATATTTTGACAGCCCAGTTTATAACAACGACTATCTTAAATTTCAAATGATATTTTTCAGAAGTAGGACCTCATCCAAATAGACATTCACAACGGAACAATTGTTGATTGCAATTATCACTAAGCGTCCTAAACACAATACTGCCAATTCCCATATCAAATCATGTATAACTCTTGCAATATTATTCAAGTTTTATTAAATTAATTGTTAAAAACTACTATCAATATTTTGTAAACAAAATTACATCAGTTATCATGTTAACAATCATAAAACTAATACAAGGTCGCATAAAGAAAAGCGTCCAGCGTATAGAAACGGACAACAAAATGTGAAGTGATCGGATGAATTACGAAATGAAAACAACTCAGTCAAATTAATAAAAAACAAGTGATATGAACTTTCTGAGAATCATGAATTACTATTCTTTCTCTTATACAACCAACGACCAACAAGACATCCAGTGCATACAACACAGAATGAGACGGCAATCGGTATCCCAATATACAGGTAATAAAGTGTGTTATTGTGTTTATTGTGTTCAGTCACGTGTATGTTTACAGTCGTGTTCTGAAGAAAAACAAAACAGTAGCATTATTACTCAACATAATGTGTTATTCAAATAACTCATCACTCGTTTTACGTTATTTTCAATTTTGAAGACAACATAGATATGCGGCGTCATATTTGATTTCTCAAATCACTGAGCTGATACATTGATATGACTCAAAGTATTTATGTTAAACAACATTTTTATTCATTGTTCATTGTTATCCTGCAAAGCGTTGTACGCATATCTGATTTGATATCACCAACACATACAAGCTTTGATTTGATCACTGAGGGATGAACATGAATCAGTACGTATTTGAAGTAACAAAATGATCTTCTGAGTGAAAGGAATTGCAGTGTGAAATATAGCAATGTTTAAGGCAACTCATGAAGTTCAACAATTACTTACTTTAATAAGGCAATCAATTACTTTCAATTCATGAGTATCCTTATCATTGCTACCAATGCACATATTAGCTCTTTCACACCAAATGCATCTCATATTTGATGTTGTTGCATTTTGGCATTCGTCAGTCGAATTGTGTATTGAACAGTTTCCTGTGGATAAAATAGGGTGACTGCATTTCAAGTTATCAAACAAAAGATAAATGAATATCGAAATGTGTAACCTAAATTCCCTGGCAATATGATGCATTCTGAATAGACTGTCTGCTTCTACTTTCACTAGGACATTCTCGTCACAACTGTTCAATGTCAGACAAGTTGGATTAGTGAAAAAATGTCGACAATTTGTGACATTTTATTCGACGAATACTGAAGGTGATCTGAAGAATAGATTGTGGAATGGTTCACTCAGTCTTCGAAGCGCTGCTTTAATAGTTTAACAGATGATGAAATGAGAAGTGTTTGTATCCACGCATTGTAAAATTCAGAAGGGAAGAAACATCCTCATGGTGTCAAAACCGTGAGTCATGTTGATGCTTTACATGTATGTTGACTACAATGAATTGCGATTTGGACGCGTGACCTGTCTACACCTTCGGCTTAACGAAAAAGTATGAAACAGCAACGATATAAGACGTTATACCACAATTTTTGAGGTAGTCACATTTACGTGGATTGCATTCGCGATTTCAATATCTCAGAGAAATTCGATATCGCGAAATCAACGGACACATTCTCGTCAACAGTCAATGTACTAGCTGACGATTTTGAACATTCAGCAGCAAATCGATGTGTAATTATTAATGGTAAGTGTAACGTCACTGAGAGGCATGACAGGATATCATCAAATAGCCAAATAAAATTACACATGGCATTTCAAATTTGATGAGAAAGATGTCATCTTTTCAAGTGTAAAAATAGTAAGTGTTGAATAAACAAGGTTAAACATACTCTCGATTGGTTCAAACTCCACTAGCGTGTCACTTTTGATCCATTTACTGGGAACCATTATCTCAGGAAATCTGAAAATGCTATCTAATTGAATAAAAAAAGACACATTTGATTTACGTTTGAATAAACAACTATTCGTCTACCTCATTTCATGGTTGACAAATGTTAAAATGAACTTTTCTGAATACAGATACAGTGACGCTGATGCAAAATCCTAAGAAAATATGCTTCACACAAATACTGGTTTCGAAAATGACCGGTGTTAAACCAGCAGTTGAAAAATGATGTCGTTAGATTTCTGATTTACTTTGCAATAGCACCAGCGCAACATCTTCAAAAAATGTGTTTAACTCGTTACACACTCGTCGTTTAGTGGGTGAGTGAGTGAATACACGAGTGCATTTATAGTCTGCCGAATATTGTCAATCATATACTCCTGTCAGTATCAGTTCATCGTTAAACGTATGTGTGAGCGTTCTCCATTGTAGGCCCACAATTTCGTGATAATGATATTCACACATCTTCGTAATAACGCTAGAAATATCAGGTTAAGCGAACGTCAGCAAATATGCCTCTTCAGATTCCTTTTCGATGCCATTTATCATACAAAATTTGAACTACATTACTGCGAATTCACCACAACAACTCAACTTTATTTCACAACGGTTAAATATACGACGGTTGTTGGACTGAAGACAAAGATAATTTGATCTAAATACACTCAATTGCAGTGAAATATTGTTCGAAGAATACTCGACATTTTCTTGATTACTTTTCACCGAGATTCTTTATCAACTGTAACAACAAAATGTCTGTTCCTGAAGTGTATGGAATAACTGACATTGGATATTCGGTCTACAGTAATGTATGGACAGTGTGTTTAAGAAAAGCATTCCGATCTCAATTTGTACGACCATGCTTAACATTTCAACTTGTCTCACATTAGAATCGATGTAGACTTTATTACAATTATATAAAAGCACATAGAGAGAAAGCAAAAAAGTCACTGTTTTGGCATGTTCATAACTGAGTACGAATGCAAAATAATACAACAGACAGAGAATACTGTACATAAGTATACTAGCAAAATAGTTTACTTCGATCTTTATCACCACAAACAACTACACTTTGAAGCTTTGTGTACAGCTGCCTATCTTCGATTTCCGTAGGAATCTGAAAATAATTTTCGGAAATATCAAACACTATAAACTAATTAACAGTTTAAACACAAAGTCACTCATAAGATTCAACAGTGTAATTTTCGAACATCTTATATTTAGAAGACGAAATAGAGTTTGACTGAAGATGACTGTTTCCGTACGCTTCCCTATTCGCCTCGATGACATCATCGTTTATTTTGATGGTACTTCACTTCTATTTATTCACTTTGTTAAGAAGTAGGTGAAGAAAATGTGTGTCATTAAAATAACTATAAAAGTGTTATTCACTTTGTTTGCATATCACAAAACGTTGATCTCTTTCTATCGTGTTAAATGTATCTTGATATATTCAAGCGTATTGCTATGCAGAAATGAGTAGAATAATCTATAGTACGTGAAACAAAACTTTATTTCCATTCAGCTGTTCAACTTACGTTCTCATAATAGATAGATATCTTCCCATTTCGATGTATCAGATTAGTGACCTTGCTTGTAATATCTGCAAACAAAAAGTCAATCGCTGTACAAATTCTAAATTACAAACGATAACCATTTTATTATTAGACCTGACAGTGTAAATGTGTACCCACAAAACATCAGTTTAAGTGGTCATATTTTGCGTTATCTCAAATGTTTTCTTTGGTGAATTCAAAAAAAACATGATCAAGTGGACGTCGTGTAGATGAAAGGAACATGATTCCGTGAAAATTACTGTCAGGTGCTTAGTTTTCCAAACCTGACCGATAGTTCTATTTGAGCGATGTTTTCTCTAATCACACTAAAAACAATCCACTCTTAAATTACCTGACATGTGTTGTGGAGTGTTTGCTTACAAATGGAACTTGAGAAACACATTGATCAACCAATCAATCGACCGACACTGACCATAGTTTATATATAGGGCACAGATGTATTTGTTAAACGTGTGAACGGAGAAGCTCCCGCGATACCGTCTTAAGGATGTTCTGATTCGGCAACCATGTGATTAGTGAAGGTGTGAAGCGTGCTGTTAACTCAAACGGAATTCACATCAAGTTCCATTGAAGCTTGTCAGCGATGATGAATCTGTGCATTTGTATTTTACGCAAGTGAAGTGACATTATATCTTCATTCATCCAATAACTAATCGTTAAGTCCATCTATTTCAGTCTATGTCAACTATTATTCAAGTTCGAAAAAAAGTGTTTAAACAATCGTTGGACCACACGTATGATTCTATCTCCACTTTACAGAAACACTGCATATTCATACATTTGCCAGTCACTGTGAAAAAAGAATTTCACAAACTGAACAGGCGAATTGTGAGTAATCACAATGAGTGATAAGTGGTAAGATTTATTATTTTATAAAATGATCATTCAACGTTCGCTCACATGTATCGCCAACACGTGTCCGAAAATACAAATTCACAGCGATGGATTCATCTGACAAAATGAGAATGAAATAAGGGTTTGTATATATGTATAATAACTATGATATTGCTTCAATAAAGGTACATTCTAACGCAGAATGAATTCGCACACGAGTTATCATCTTTCTTCCGAGATTGAATGAACAATTATCCTTCATGGAGAAGTTTCAGGGTTTATTATTATTATTGTTATTTCAAAAACACGATGAACGTTTCAATCCAGTCAACTGAGAATATTATTTTACTGCTGCACAGTTGATTCTGGGAGCTTTTGACTCACTAAACGATCTTTATTATCGATTTGACAAAACCTATACTAAATCATTTTCTGAGATTCTGTTATCCGAGTGAAACAGAGTTCTCTCAATTGAACCAATTATTATGCAGAAATGTTACTGCAATGTGCTTAATTTCGATAACTGACTGAAATGAATGAACCTGATCTTGATGATAAGGGTGTTCTGGTTCGAATAAATCATCTTGTACTATCAATCAGTTCATTGTCGTTCGTTGATTGGTGGTTTCTGAAGGGCGTGAAATCAAATACTACTAGCTCATCAATATGATAATCTAGAAAGTGTCAAATGTAAGATGGTCCTCAAACAGCGACTAGGAGACATTAAAATTATATGAATCAAGTAAGTGCCAGAAAAGAGTTGGATCAAGTCAAATATTACTTGACAGTTCCTAAGCGTATTAATTCAAACTGGCTTTTCGAACAACTTCGCTTATAGTTTGACGTGTAATCAATTAGACTCATTTGGTCAACAAAGAAGTGTCGTTTCTGTGGCATACGTTCCGCATTTTAGTTTCGATAGACTGAAGAATAGCTACTTTCCACTCAGGTGAGTACATCGTTTAATTTATCATTTCTACTGAATCAATTTTACTGTACTTTGAAATGAGTTCCTGTTTTAAGTAATTGTTTTACTTGACAGTCACCAATAGGTGCTTTGAACACTTGCCCTAATATGCAATCACACAATCAAAATAATCATTGTGTATTGGTCAGTTTCCGTGCAGTGATCAAGCAAATTACTGATTCATTTATGCAAAGTTAATGTGTGAAAAACAACTGAAAATGTTATTGAATAATAGAACTCACTGTTATGTAGCATCTCAAATTGAGGAAGAAAAGTGCCTGGCATAATGTGATTTATCATTCCGGGTGTCTTACCTTCTACAAGTATTAAACCTGTATTTATAAAATGAAAACATACAATTTGATCAAAATTCTGTTGTGTGTGAATGAAATAATTTGAAATGAATTGGAGACAAAGATGGATTGCATGAACTTCAAATAGTTTACTCTAAAACAGCAAATGTTTCACAAGTTGAGTATGAAAATGAAACACACATTCGTGGAACAAACTGTGATTACCAAAACCCATAAAGAATTTTAGTTGAGAGAAAATGTTCTCTTACCATTTACACCGATCGAGAGTCTTTTAATGTCACCTTCGAGAAATTGAAGCGGAAATTTCGGCTGAACAATCTTAAAAGATGCAAATATAAGATTAAGTACTTTCATTTCAAAATGTAATCAACTCACCTGACTGATATTAAATGTTTCAAACGTGCCATTAACAACTGGATTTGACTGTTTAGTACGTATTCTTTGTGAGTATTTGTAATAATGAGACTGTGTTTGTGTGTTAGAATATGAATGATGAATACTTACATATTTGTATGAATCGTTAACGAAAATTACTTCTTCATATTTCGCTAATTGAGGTTGTTGACAGATATCTTGACAATTGTAGATATCGCAAAGCAATATGACGACCAAATGAACTGATATTAACAGAGCAAATGGAGGAATATATCTGAAATAGTTAATATGAGCAGAATAACGTGATGTTATTGAATCAAAATGAAATTCATATAACACACTCATTTAATTCGTTTGTTCAGTCAACACTCACCTCATCTTTCCGTTCAAAATAGTAATCACATTTTAACAGAACGTGTCAGGTTTATATAGATTTTTCAGTTGTATTGTTGTTTGTTTCTGATTCGATGATTCAAATTGACCATTAGACGTGGGCTGATATTCATTAAGCGCTGGTTGATATTCTTGACCTTTTGTGTTGAAAAGGTTTTTGGCTTTGACTAGCAATACTGTGAATAAGTGACTGGTTTATTTGTACCTTAAATTTGTGCTGTTTCCACTAACAAGCAGTTTATTGATTTGTAAAATGAGAATTTCTTTGATCTCTATTCTGTGTGAGTAGATGACAATCAGTTACTTACACACATTATTAGAAAGCGGCATTCCTTATTCTAATTAAGATTCATTTCACGCCCACTACACAATAGAGAATACCATATTATCGGATTTATAAGAAAGAATGAAGTGATAGACAACAAGAAACTATAATCACTGTTATTCTTACAAACAACTGAGGTCAACAGAATGATGTTTTTAAATAACAATGTCAGTTATTTTACACTATCACTATATCTTAATTAAAAGTATATTTTTGTGAGAAAACTCATATTATGTTGCGAGTATGCAGATGGTTGTGATGATTTTACTTATTATTCAACCACATAATCCTTACAGAATCGTCAAGTTAGAGCTTTCAATCCAAACAGGACGAAGCGGCCGTTCAGTGCTTCCAGATTTTCAATGGTGGTCTGTCATCAATCGGTACATGATCTCAATCAAACAAATTTAGTTGGACGTAAGAAGCACGTGTTGTGGTCGGGCCAAACGATGACTGTTGATCCTGTCGGACAATGCTATCGCCTAAATTCGTTCAACTATATTTGTCAGTTGCCAAACACATTGTTGTATCAAAGGAATCGGAGGAGCGAAACCTGAGTGTCCGCTTGGACAAACAAGAGAGGATGAAATACAAACAGGGAAACCAACAAATAATCAATGATAATCATTTCGGAACTGAAATCACGTCTTACTATCTATCTGGATATCACCGATTGTCGTTGAAACGAATGAAGACGTTTCAGTGAAGAAACGTTTGCTCTTGACGATATTAATTAGTGAAGCTGTTCAATAGTATTTTCAGTTAATACGTTTGCATGTAATAATATGCGATAAAACAGAAGGATGTTACAAAGTTATCAAAGATATTCAAGCTTACCCCAGCAGGGTTCGATCACATTGAAGTTTTGTTACTCAAATCTATTCGCGATAAAGAAAATCCTCAAGTATTTCAGGTAGTACTGTGGTTTTGAACGAACTAATAATACCTTTGTACTTGTTGAATGCTCGATTTCGAATTCCAAATACAATACATTCGTTTGCGCCTGTGTCTTACTTCTTAATTCAGTTGCGTTAATTCTGGGATTCCTAGTTCATAATACAATTCAAATAATACAAATATAATAAGTACATAAAGTGTGTCACTTATTTATAACTTGGGTTCTTATGTACTGAATGAAACATAATGCATTATTTGTTTAATTTGGAAGCACTCATCCCTAGCCTACTATGTTGACTAGTTTTGGCAGAAATATACACACCAATCTGTGGACCAATATATGAATATAATTGTGCACTTAAAAGATAAGGAGGAGAAGAATTAGTACTAGGTAATAATGAGCTATTCTGTTTTCTCAAATTCGATAGATTGATATAACCAGGATTGACCGTATCACTGAAAGTTGAGTTATTGACTGATTTGTTCATCCCTTCAGGATAATCATACAGTGTGGTGCACAAATATTTATTTACATTTGTTTGGGATGTTAGGTTGCCGAATTTCACTTGGTAAATGCCTTCATTTTGTGATTTTACTTTACGAATTTGAATTTCCTTGTTTTCTTACCAAAAGTGCTCCTTTCACCTTCATGTCAAACTTACCACTTGGGAGCATCTATAACGCTGTTGGTCCGTTGTGTATCTTAGTATGGTATTTTGCAACGCTTTTCAAGGACAGTTCTATACTGTATATATAAGTTTGATTTGTGCTTGTTTCTTTTACCCATGCTTCTGGCATTACGAAATATACTTTCCCGTTCTAAAATTCTACTTCTCTCTCTAGTTAGAGGGTCTAAGACGCATCAGATTACCAAGCTTCATGGCCTTCGGTCAGAAGTCTTTGTTCCGTTCGCACCCTAGGTGAACTCGCAATAGCTTCAAACCTAGAGAAATTGGTGAAGGTCGTTTAGGAGACATGGATCCTTCAAGATTTTAATTATTGCAAATGCAGCAGCTGGAAATGATGCAGACGCTGACAGATATAAAGATGTGGCCTCCCACGCAGCCTACCACATCTAATGCAAATGCAGTATCATCATCGCAAATAGCATAGCAAAGTTTCATTATGATCTCGATTCCAACGTTCCTTTTAGCATGTGGTTCCGGCGTTAGGAAGACGTAATGTAATCCGATTTCGCTAATCAATATGATGCTTGGAAAGTTCGGCTGTCACTTAGAAAGTTGGATGCAACAATGTTTGATTCATTAGGATGATTTATTTTGACCTTATTCACACAATTATTGTGAACTCGTAAGTAAAGCGTGTGATGACGATATTATCGAATAAAGTTTTCACCACCACTCACGATTCTTTTCTCTACTTCATTTAACACATGATATGCGTCCCATAGATTGATAAAATGCAATCATGTAAACTACATGATTCTATGGTCCAACTAAAACTTAACTCATTTGAAATTCGGTGGTAAATGGTTAGAGTGTTTATTCCCAGCTGAAGCAAGACCTTGTATTAACCGATAACTAAAATATATGTTTCCACTTCGTTTGTTCATCATAAAAGTAGTATTGCTTTTCTAATTGAGAATCCCACACAACTCTACATCGCGTGAGTACGTGACTGTCAGTCACATAAACACACTATTAGAAAAAACAACATTCTTTACTTTAATTAAGAATAATTTTATGCACAGCACACAATACAGAATACCATATTACCTGATTAATTTGAAAGAAAGTAGGTCAAAGAAGACGACTAATTAATGAAGTGAGATCAATAGAAATATTTTTTTCGACTGGATGTTGAGATTATTGGCACTATTATCTTT